CAACATCCCGTAGTGAGATGTACTGTCAAGTCATCGAATAAACCTCATGTCTGTTTATAAAGCCAGCACCAGAGTACATTGAAGCTGCTGACTGAAAGTTGCCTAACTACTAAAGGATTGACTAGAATCTATTGCCTCTTATTAAAAACTTGTTTTAAGTAGTTCTAGTTTTAAGTCCAGAAATGATAGAATTCATAAAAATTTCAAAAAATCCCGTATTAGTGAGCATCTACGTCCTAAAAAGAACCCCCATAGACAATTTGAAACTCCTAGCACTTGTAGTTTGTAGTTTTTGTGATTTCATGATGAGTGAGTGAGTGACCTTTCGCTTTTATGTATATAAGTATATATATAGATATTGGAAAAAACAATTAAACAAAACCATTAACAGTATTTTGGTTTATTGAAATACAAGATACAACACAATCACGACCTGTTGATACAGTAGTAGGTAGGTACATACAATTAAAATAGTCTTCGGACTATCTAATAATACTAATTCAATAATTTTATTGTCATAGATGTCAAATAAAATATTTGATCATTGTTTCGGTGATACATACAACATGCTTCGATTATTCATACATTTCTATGGCATTCATATCGTATTATATTCATAAGTAATAAATAAAATTTACATTCAAATTAAATGCATTTTTCAGTTAATATTTTTTACGTGATTTATAATTTTAAAATAATAAATAAATAGGAAGTTATACATTTTCTACTTAATAGTTTACAATATAATTCAGGAAATAACAATTCATTACATCTCTATGACTTATTAAAAAGTGCACAATACAATATTAGTTTTTACCAATTCCGTCATTTATCATAATAAATTGTGGGTACTTAATTTTAACATTTTTTAAAGATTTTCATGTCGAACGCATGATTATTACAAAATTCGGATATCTCATTAATTGCATTGAATTGCACTGACAAACAAGCATGTTTTTAATTTACAATTTGGAACGGCTCCCTTAAAATGTACATTATTATCACATTAAATTTCTTTTAACATCTAGATTTTGAAACTAAAATGTATTATTTCGAATTGTTTGATATTTTAATTGACTAATAATTTTTTGTTTTTGTTTGTTTTTGTTTTTGTTAAAAGGCTTTTGTTTTAGTCTGACGTTCGTTTTCCTGATCAAGAATTTCGATTCGTGGATCCGAACGCTACATTTTCATGTAAAGTGTAAAGCGACACGTACATGTTCGTTTCGTTCTCAGTTCGGAAAAACCGATGTTCATATGAAAGCCTCAAGACTACTCGACTGTTTTGACAAAAGTATATAAAAACTTTTATTTATTTTCAAAAATCTTATTCAACGCCAGCCTATTAACGTGCCCATTTCTGGGGCCTGTGCCATTCCTATGGCTGGAATCGAATAGAGAGAATGGGCAATGACCCACTACGCGGGCTCAAGTAGTGGTTGTAAACGACTGCAGATGCAGCGTATCAACGCGTTAACGTGCTTTCTGCAACAGGAGCTCGAGATAATATTTTTTTGATGCCTTGCGAAAGTTGCTGCAACCGTATCGCAGACCAAACGCACTAACCTTTGTGCCATCGAGCTCCTAAAAGTTGATTTAACATGAGCACTAAACCTTAATTAATTTAACATGAGCTTGCATGTAAGCACAAAAAAAATAAAAAAAAGTAATAAATAAAGTACTTTAAAACTTTTACTTTATTTTTAACTTTTTAGGGCTTGCATGCAAGCACGTGGTAAATCAGGGGTATCGTGCCGTGTAAAGAATTCATCAGGTGACATATAGAGCCGTGACGTTTTAATAAACATGAATACTCATAGCACCCGCAACAAAGACGACGACGTTTAGTTAATTGAAATTTGACGTCACACGATGCTCTATCGTATCCGTTTTTTGGTTATTGAACCGAAATGCGGAAAAAGAAATATACTACATATAGTATTGTTCACATATGTTACCATTTCCAGCATATTTCATAATTTATTGTTATAACTGTAAAGTAGCCTTGATCAGGAAACCGACCACGAAAAACGAATGTGTGCGGCCAGGCTTTAAGTAGATAAGACCGTTAAATTAGCTTTCGTTCTTTCGTTTTGCAATGCTTTCCTTTAGATAATTTAATAAATTTGCATCAAAAAATTACAAAAGGCACTAATGGAAAGATTTATTTAAGCTTCTCATATTGATTATGTGCCTGTAACTCTATGTGACTTTGCTAAAAACATATCTCATTTAAATTTTACAAATAAAATGAAAAACTTTTCTAAGGAATGATCCGATAGTATAGGTATTAATAAAAACATTCAGACGTATGTAAAATAATTTAGTAAATCATAATAATTAGAAATTTACAAATACATAAGAAGTTGCATAAAATAGATTGTGCTAATTTTCAACTATATACAATAATAGTTGTATACGCAAATGTATAAATAATTATGAATTCATGGTAGCTATAGTTAACGCCAAAGCCTTCGTCATCAATATGGATTTATTTACAAATAAGTAGAAACTTTTTTATTGCCTCTAATAACATTTTAATACTATGACAGTAGGTTATTGACATCATAGCAGATGACGGGGCGGGGTTAATAGAACGTTATCGGAATATATTGGGCTAATTTTCCAAAGCCAGAACAATGAAAGTAGCTTGACTACCTTCCCTTGGACCACCGCATTTTTCCACAACTCTAAAGGTGTTCCATCAACAAGAACATTTGCATTACGTTACAAAGTCGATCATTGCATAGGCGTACTCATCATTTACTTAGGGATCGAGCAAAAACCAGTCAAAATTACAAGGAGTAAACTTATTATAATTTTGGTTTTTATTCAATAATAAATAAAAATTCATATTAAACAATATTTAATTTATTGTTATTTGTTATTTGGTATATTTAACTTCAAGTTAGGGTTGAGGGTAGGGCCAGCCCACCATAAGGGCCACCTAATTAACTAACGATCATACTAACAAACGATGATCGTGCGATGGTTTAATAGATCTGTGATACTTACATAATAATTTTGCAATCGGAGCACATTAGATTAGATGGTAATTACAAATTATGTTTGTCAATTTCACATATAAATATTCATACTAATTATTAACTGTTATAATAACAGATTTCCTCGTTAATTCTTTAATAGTTGTGAATAAAAGTATCAACAAAGATCAAATGAAGACTATCATAAATAGCAGCATATTTATTTATATGCAACTTTTCTTCTTTATCTCAGATTTGAAGGTTAAAAAAAAGAGAAAAATCAAATGAATATAATTTACACTGACAAACACAATATTAAAAATGTATGCACTGATTGCAACATTTTCCTGTATTGATCGCGCATTATTGAAACCCACTTGATCAATAAGAGCATTCGGAGTCATTTTTAGCTTTAATTACACCACGGCACGATTAAACCAATCGCACAATTGTTATTGAACGTGCGATGACTTACGTCTAAATGCACAAATGTCGATTAATATTGTCATTAGTATTGTTATGTAGGTAGATGAATAAGAATCCTGAATGTCGGGTATGTTTGTTACCGACTGAATTCCTTTGTCTCGCAATACAACTGATAACGAATAGACGCTTTGTATTTCGCTCCTCCAGTATATACTAAGTATAAAGCGACATTAGCAATACAAAGTTTAGAACACTCATTAGAGCCTAAAGTCGTTATTAAACATTAATCGACGTTTGTGCAACGTGGAGTTACACTTCTTAATTTGCTTCCTTTACTTTTCAATTAGATCACGCTAAAGGAATTTTTGTGTTTATTCTCGTTGCATATGTACAAGCATTTTCTAAAGGCAAATTATTACAAAAGATTACGTAATGCGCGATTAAACAAATTATATATTTTCTTAATAAAAAATACTTAAAAACGCCAGAGAGATGGGAAGCAAACCCACGAACTTTCGCAATCCACTTGGCTCCGAATATTTTCCAATAAAGCGTTGTGAATTCAAAAATCATTAAATATAGAAATAATGTTTTTTTTTTATTTTATAATATTGTAACGAAAAATGCGGTGCATATTTCGATGAATGATGAAAGAATGAAAAATGGCAGTATTCATACAAGACTAGATTAATTACTACATCCGATAACCCCCCGTATGTCACATTACTGTAGCATAAATCTACTGCATAAAAATTTGAACTAAAAAAGATATTGGAACTTATAAACTGAATTTCGTTCAGATCAATATAATTCGTTGTGCATTCTCCATACAAGACATATAATTCCATTTAAGCTTAATTAAACATCATCCACTAAGCATTTCATTTTTTTACCAGATATCAGAATTAGCCTCTATAAAAATATTCAAAAACAAAAATAATCTTTTTCCCGACTTAAATAATCATATATATCATCAATTAATCAATACCCTCCGGGTATTATTTATACCAATCATGATTTGTAAATAAATATGTATAAGGTATACAATTGTTCTGATCCCAAATTAAGTGGTAACTTCGTAAGAAAACTATTACATCGGTTACATTACACTCAATCGGATTCGAACATGCCACAATGCCTCAAATGCGAAGTTCAAATTAAAATAGAGGAAATGGCGACAATAAGCAATATTCAACAACTATCCTAAATAAAGTCTGCTATACCCACATTAAAATAGCTGCATATTTTCACAAACATACAACTGAAAAGTAGTCGAAGCTGAACCAAACGGTTCGTACTTGAATAAATTCCGTTATCTGTTTCGCTCCGAAATCGCAAAGACATATCATACAACATTTAACATATTCCAACATACACTGCTGAAAGGTTTTACCTTAGTTTATTATTATTACAATAAATTAATATTATTAGTACATTATCTAAATATTATTATGTTACAACATACTCAACAAGAATATCAACAATGGACTTGATAATAATTATTACTAAATAAATACATGTACAGTTAACTAGTACACAAGCTTAGTTACATACGTTTTGAGAATCAGGTGGCCATGGTGCCGGTGGCGTTCAGTTGAACACAATGGATGCAGATCTTGACCCTACCGTGAAGTCTTTATACTGTGAAAACACGCACAGCTGAAACATTAAATGTCTCTTTTATCATAAAGAAATAAGCAAAAATTTTAATAGGAAAAACGACACAACTAAACCATCAACATATAAAGGAAGAACGTAAAGACTAAATCTGAACATATAATTTTAAAATGCGTTTTTAGATAGGTATCTACAAAATTCGTCAATGTCGTCAGGTTAGACAGATAAACTAGAGCGGTGGATGATCTAATAGTGTTGTCAAGTGAAATAGTGAAATTAAAATATGTATTTTGTTGTTAGTTATTTTAGTGACTATGTAAATTAAATAAAGTCGGATTGGCGCTTATAATTGGCGTTAATTTTTATTCCGAACCCTAAGGCGTAACAATATTAAAACAAATTTCTACACTGCCAAAACAGTTTGTTTTGTTATGATCAGTGGCATAAGACTACACTGTAGTTTGGTCATTATAATATAGCTATTGCTATGAAATAATTTTATTGTTTTAAACTTTTTAGAGTGTGATTTAGCTCTAATCAGGTTTTAGTTATTGAACTTATTTTTTCAAAATAGTCTTTCTGATTTCAGCTAGTAACAAACACATAAATTTATCAATAGATAAAAAAAAATTAATGACTATATTAAATGCATACAATCTTGTAAACAAACAATTAAGTTATCCTTATCAAATTCAAATTGACACATTGTGTACAAACGACATTATCACCATATTACCACTCGAGATAATTCAATTACAATTATTGGAATTATATCATATTAGCTTAATCAATATATAATCTTATCATTAGTATAGCTTATCTCATATGAAGACAATATATATATATATATATATATGAAATGTTTACTTATGTCTTCCAGTTAAATAAATGAATAATATCTATATTGCAGCAACTTCAATCAGAGAAAAAAATTGAGTTCAAAATTACACATTTTTTAGTAAAAAAATATTTGTTTACCAAATAAAACTCTTGTAACGTTGTTCTATTTAATGATAAAACAGTAAATTAATGTTTACGTGTCTCCGTATTAATTATGAATTGTTTATCATTATTTACAAACTGCAAATAAATTAAAATAAATAATAATCTTAAAACTATGTTAATTTTTAATGAAAACTTAATAACTACTAAAGAATAAATAATTATACGTTAAAAAAAAAAAAAACTTAAAACCTAACTATATACAAATTAAATATTTACAAACAAACAGATCGCACGCAGATGTAATATATATATACAGCGATGTTGGCGCGGGCGCGGGTAGCATAAAAAAAACGATAACAAGTCGACCGCGCGGCGGCCGGCGGCGGCCAGCCGCTCGTGCCTGTTGCGAGCACACTTACAAATGAATCTTGTTTGAAAACAGCTGTGTAACGCTTTTCAAAATATAAAGTCTGTTCGATTTTTACTAAGTCTTCGACTGACGATTCTTATTTTAAATAAATATATAAAAAAAAAAGTTTAAATAAATATAAGAAACACTTAGAAGTGTAGTGAAAAAATATAATCCCGTACTGGGTAAGTTGTGCATTTAACCAATTATTTAATGAGTAGAAACGTTTGAATTATTGTAGTTACTTATTTTACATTTCTAAGTATGCAGCTTTTGCTTAATTAATTTACTTAAGTTTAACAAGAATCACCGTAATATTTCATGATCAATAATAAAAGTCATTATTGATATATATTTTATATTGCTACCTACGTTCCATGTTCTTTTTTTTATTTCATTTAAATGCCATCAGTTTATGTAACCGTTACTGCCTTTTTTATTTATAACTGCCACTTCGACCCAGATTAATTAAGAATACTCTCTTCACTCCTGTACTAACTAGCTTTGCTAGATTCTACGATTTAATTGCTAATTTTAACGACCAACGCTAGTGGCAGTACCCGACTTCTCTTTCCGGGTAATAATGTGGCATTATTGTGACTTCTTCAGGAACTCCGTACGGATTAAGAAAATCACGTCAACTTTACTTATACTGGGAATTGATATTTGAGAATTGGAGAAGTGCCTTATGGAAACCAGAAATTGAAGCCCTGCGCACCGTAGAATTCACAGGAGTACAGGGAAGTTCTATCGAGTGATCTACCATCAGACCTCTAAGAAACCTACCCACGACCCTAGGGACCTTGACCTCGATTTTACTTATCGCAAATAAATATTCTTTCTTATATATCGTTCTTTTTTTTTATCACTTAATAAGAAAAGAACGTGTCAGTGGCGCCCACGCTTAAAGGTTTCGAGGCTGCTTTTGGTGGATTACCTATAGTTTTTTTTTATTCTTTAATTACTGGTGTTGGGGGTGAACAGTTTTTTTTTTGTTAAACGATCGTAGTGATTTGAGTTGTGTGCTACGAAACAGTTAATAGTATTCACTTTAAAAATTGTGTTTTATTTTGGTCTTACATAAATTTATGTTAGAATTACTTTTGTATTCGAACAAGGTGTAAAGCACTCAACTCAAATATTGCTTTATTTTGTAAATTTTTTTTTTGTGTGTATTTTAACTTATTATCTTTCTCTATTAATATATTATTACTGCGTGCTACATCGTTCTAGAGCAAAACTGATTATTGAGACAGAACGGATTTAACTGCTTTGGCTAATTGTGCTTTTTTTATAATTGTATTTTGTTATTTGCATAACCTACCCGCAAACAGCGATTAAAATATTATATTTATTTTCCTAAATAAGAATAAATATGGCATACCCCATAAAATTTTTACTTTTACAAAAGTCTGAACTTCAGTATGAAGTACTAATTAGAGGTGGAGAAACAAAGCTTACTGTGGTCGAATTGAGACGGCAGGTATGTAAACTAACACAACTGTATCCATCTGAAGATGTCTCAGATTCTTGCCTTGATTTTGAAAATGATATAAAGGGTATCAGGGAAACGTTGGACAAAGTTAGAACAAACTTAGAACAATTACGACTTTCAGTGGATTCGGCTTTGTCTGATAGGACCTTGGCATTTCTAAATCATTTGTATCATCGTGTTCGTAGATTAGAGAAACCCACTACGCCAGAAAAATTGAAATACCTTGAAACTACTATGAAAACGCTTGATGATTTATATTCACAGTTTAAAGATTTGTCAAAACCGATTTCTCCGAAAATCGCTGATAGTGAGGAGGTTAAATGCATTACTGAGCAAAGCGGCCTTAATGTTCAGGTAACTTGTGACCGAGGCATTTTTAATGACATTAATAAGCTCAAGTATGATGGGAAGTCATGTGTCAGGGCATTTATAGAGAGATTAGAGGAAGTTCGGTTTTCCAAAAACATAACAGGGGAGAAAATGTTGGCTTCAGTTACTGACATTTTTATAGGAGATGCTTTGCATTGGTTTCGAGGAATAAGAGCTAGTGTTACTTCCTGGGAAAATTTACTTGTATTACTAAGAGATGATTTTGATATCGCGGATTACGATTACCGTATGATCGATGAAATACGCAGTCGAAGTCAAGGGGAGACAGAGAATATTGTCATATACTTAGCAATAATGCAAGGTATGTTTAGTAGGTTAAGCAAATCTTTGTCAGAGTCTGAAAAATTGGATATTATACTTCACAATATTCGTCCTTGCTACTCAAGTGTATTAGCTCATTGTTCCGATATTACAACAATAGAGAAATTACGTGAAATATGCCGTAATTATGAGAAATTTAAAACAAGATCTGATAATTTCAAAGAACCGCCATCTATGAGTTTAAAAACACTTGCTCCTGAATTTGCATATCAGAATCCCTTAAAAACTCAAAACAAAAATTACAATTGTATCAATTATAAGCAAAACTCAACAAGTCTCAATCCTAGATTGTACGCTGTCGTTGATTCTAAAATAGTTACAGACTCTACTGAAGTTTGTGACATAGGTAACTCAAAGGTGTTTTGCCATCGTTGTCGAGTGGATACCCATAGCATGAAGGATTGTAAGGCTGACCGAATAATCTTTTGCTTCAGATGTGGTAAAAAAGGAGTTCGTACTCCCGAGTGTAATAATTGTAATATAAAGAAATCCTTACCTAGCTCAAAAAAACGAATAACTAAAAATTGCAGCTTGGCAGCAAATCCGACTAATGATTTTGTTTGGAAGGATTGGTTGCAATTTTTAAGGAATTTTTTTTCTTCTTATAAGACTGCCTCTATTCTTAATAGTAAACCTTGTAATGATCCACGGCCTTACGTGAAGGTCTGTATTGAAGGTGTCCCTAATTTTGAAATGTACGGTTTACTTGATTCGGGATCAGCTATAAGTGTTATTGGAAGTGATTTTTATAAATTTTTACTTTCACGAGATTTCAAGTTACACATCGATAATTATATTTCGGCTACTGCTGCAGGAGGTCAGGTGCTTAAATCTAATGGTTATATGCTACTTCCTCTTTTATTTAATGGACAAACAAGTGTTATTAAAGCTCATGTTATTCCGGAAGTTGACTCAAAACTTTTACTGGGTATAGATTTCTGGAAAATATTTAAAATATTCCCTAATCACGTTAATAACATAGCACTTCTTGATAATAGTTCTCCGTGTATTCAAAAAATAGATACAAGTTCTGATCTACTTTTGCATACATATGAGAATTTAAGTGAAGGCGAACGGTTGTTAGCTGATGATGTAATCAGACAATTTAAGGAAATATCTTATGAAGAGAAGGGTTTGGGAAGAACTCACTTGATTACTCATACTATAGACACTGGAGATAGCAAACCGATTCGCCAAAGGTACTACCGATTATCTCCAGAAAAACAAAAACTTATTGTAGATCAGGTTGATGAGATGCTTTCTCTCGATGTTATAGAACCGTCTGAGAGTCCATGGCTTTCACCAGTCTTAGTTGTAGGCAAGAAGGATGGTAAACCACGACTTTGTTTGGATAGCAGGAAACTGAACTCAGTAACTAAAAAGGATGCTTACTGCCTACCATATGTTTCTGAAATACTAGACAATCTTAAGGACGCTAGGTATTTATCCAGTCTAGATTTATCTAAATCATTCTGGCAGGTGCCTATTAGGGAGGAGGATCGAGAAAAGACTGCATTTTACGTTCCCAGTAGGGGCACTTTTCAGTTCAAAGTCACCGCCTTTGGCTTAACTAACGCACCCGCAACACAACAACGTCTTGTAGATACTCTCTTTGGACCGGAATTTGAACTGAAGGTGTTTGTATTTGTTGATGACGTCATCATTATTAGTCAAACATTTGACGAACATGTAGCACTCCTTAATCGGGTTTTCGTTAAATTGAAGGATGCAAATTTGACTATAAATTTAAGTAAATGTCATTTCTTTCGTAGTCAACTGCGGTACTTAGGGTATATAGTTGATGCACAAGGGCTGCGTACAGATCCAGAAAAGGTGGAGGCTATGCTAAAGTACCCCACGCCTACAAATAGGAAAGAAGTAAAACGCTTCCTAGGCACAGCCTCGTGGTATAGGAGATTCATACCAAATTTTAGTACGATAGCTGGTCCCTTGAATAAGCTTACGTCTACAAAAAAAAAGTCGCCACCATTTCATTGGTCAGATGAAGCTGATCAGGCCTTTCTTGAACTAAAGTCTTTATTAGTTAAGGCCCCAATTCTAGCTTGTCCAAACTTTGATCATCCTTTTGAGGTGCATACAGATGCCAGCAATTTTGGTATAGGTGCAATGCTCTCACAAACAATTAACGGTACAGAGCATCCAATCGCCTTTATGAGTAGGTCCCTTACGGATGCTGAAAAGAATTATAGTGTAACTGAGAGGGAAACGTTGGCAGTTCTTATTGCACTTGAACACTGGCGTTGCTACCTCGAAAATGGGAAAACCTTCACGGTATTCACCGACCATTCTGCTATAAAATGGTTTTTATCTATATCGAATCCAACAGGACGCCTGGCCAGATGGGGAATCCGGCTTTCAACTTTTGATTTCGTTGTAAGGCACCGTCGTGGCAAGGATAATGTTATACCTGATTCTTTATCTCGATCGTTGCCACTCTCATTGATTTCGGCTGAGCCTACTACTAGTGATTCGTGGTATTTAAATATATACAATAGTTGCAAGGAATCCTCTTCTAGTTGTCCTAACTATCGTATAGAAAATGGTAAGCTTTACAGGTACATGAGAAATAAAAATTTTCTTACTACCGAGTTTCACTGGAAGGAAGTGATTCCAAAAGAAAATCGGAAAGTTGTTCTTAGAGCTAATCACGATAATCCCACGTCTGGTCACTTTGGAATTTTTAAAACTTTCAAAAGAGTGAGCTTAAATTACTTTTGGCCTAATATGCATTCAGACGTGGTGAACTTTGTGGCTGGCTGTGAGACATGCCAAGCTTATAAGATATCTACTCAGGGCACGTTAGGTACAATGGGTAGACCCAAGGAATGTTACCGACCCTTCCAGACAATATCGATCGACTTAGACGGGCCTTTGCCACCTTCTAGAAAACAACACTGTTATCTGTTTGTTGTGACGTGCTGCTTTTCAAAATATTGTTTGATGTTTCCACTTCGGAGAGCTACTGCTGAATTGGTCAAACTTCACCTTGAAAATCATGTTTTTCTCGTACATGGCATTCCACAAACCATTATATTGGACAACGGTGTCCAATTCACAAGTCATAAACTTGACGATCTCTTCAAGGAATATAAGATACCTAATATTCATTTTACCCCGAAGTATACCCCACAAGTAAATACTGTAGAAAGATATAATAAAACAATAATGACTGCAGTGTCGACATTTGTAAATGATGACCACCGTTCTTGGGATGTTAACCTTTCTAAAATTCAGTTTGCTATAAATAACTCTATTAATGAGAGCACTGGTTATACACCTTCATTTTTGGTTCATGGAAGAGAATTAGTGACATGTGGATCACATTACATCGATAATGATGTTCCAAACGAAATAGTATTCCTACCTCGCGAGATATATGCTGAAAATTTGGGATATCTTCGGAAGTTTTTTGATAAAGTTCAAATCTCACTATGGAGGGCTCACAAAAAGAACTCACAACGATACGATCTTCGTCGGAAAGAGGCAGAATTTGAGGAGGGTGATATAGTGTGGAAGCGTACCTATTTTCAAAGTGACAAAGATGCACATTTGACTAAGAAATTGACACCTAAATATGTGAAATGTAAAATTAAACAAAAACGTTCTCCGTTGGTTTATGTGCTAGAAGACATGGCTGGTAATGACCTGGGAGCCTGGCACATTAAAGATCTGAAACTTTAGAGCGATTTTCTTTTGTGGATTTTTCTAATCAAGGCGGGAAAAATCCTTCTCTGGAAGGGGGATACTGTAACGTTGTTCTATTTAATGATAAAACAGTAAATTAATGTTTACGTGTCTCCGTATTAATTATGAATTGTTTATCATTATTTACAAACTGCAAATAAATTAAAATAAATAATAATCTTAAAACTATGTTAATTTTTAATGAAAACTTAATAACTACTAAAGAATAAATAATTATACGTTAAAAAAAAAAAATACTTAAAACCTAACTATATACAAATTAAATATTTACAAACAAACAGATCGCACGCAGATGTAATATATATATACAGCGATGTTGGCGCGGGCGCGGGTAGCATAAAAAAAACGATAACAAGTCGACCGCGCGGCGGCCGGCGGCGGCCAGCCGCTCGTGCCTGTTGCGAGCACACTTACAAATGAATCTTGTTTGAAAACAGCTGTGTAACGCTTTTCAAAATATAAAGTCTGTTCGATTTTTACTAAGTCTTCGACTGACGATTCTTATTTTAAATAAATATATAAAAAAAAAAAAGTTTAAATAAATATAAGAAACACTTAGAAGTGTAGTGAAAAAATATAATCCCGTACTGGGTAAGTTGTGCATTTAACCAATTATTTAATGAGTAGAAACGTTTGAATTATTGTAGTTACTTATTTTACATTTCTAAGTATGCAGCTTTTGCTTAATTAATTTACTTAAGTTTAACAAGAATCACCGTAATATTTCATGATCAATAATAAAAGTCATTATTGATATATATTTTATATTGCTACCTACGTTCCATGTTCTTTTTTTTATTTCATTTAAATGCCATCAGTTTATGTAACCGTTACTGCCTTTTTTATTTATAACTGCCACTTCGACCCAGATTAATTAAGAATACTCTCTTCACTCCTGTACTAACTAGCTTTGCTAGATTCTACGATTTAATTGCTAATTTTAACGACCAACGCTAGTGGCAGTACCCGACTTCTCTTTCCGGGTAATAATGTGGCATTATTGTGACTTCTTCAGGAACTCCGTACGGATTAAGAAAATCACGCCAACTTTACTTATACTGGGAATTGATATTTGAGAATTGGAGAAGTGCCTTATGGAAACCAGAAATTGAAGCCCTGCGCACCGTAGAATTCACAGGAGTACAGGGAAGTTCTATCGAGTGATCTACCATCAGACCTCTAAGAAACCTACCCACGACCCTAGGGACCTTGACCTCGATTTTACTTATCGCAAATAAATATTCTTTCTTATATATCGTTCTTTTTTTTTATCACTTAATAAGAAAAGAACGTGTCACTCTGATTACAGAAATTGCAAACAAAATCTCATATCTAATCAAAAAGGCTATCTAACCTTTTTAGCAATAAAGTAAAAATAAATAAATTCAGCTCAGACTATAATACATCAACAGAAAAATAAAGTCAAGGTCACACAGCATACTACTTTCTTACCTTATCTTTAAGTTGTTGACACATGTGAAGGGCAGCTGTGAGCATGAAGAGTACATCACTCAACCACGGCACAGCACAGTCTGCTTGACATGAATCAATCCGCATAGTGCCATGAACAGAACTTAACTGATATGCCACAAATATCAGTTTATGTGATTGAATGTAGAATGATATTGCTAAATCTTCAGGTAAATTGGGTGAGAGGGCTTTCTGAAAAGCAAATGTAATTGAAAATACAATTTATAATATTTTTCTATCTATATCTTCACACCAGATCTCTTGAGTGGTATAAAACATCACCATCATTAGCAACATTCCTTTGTAAGTCCCCACTGCAGCAGCTCAGGCCTTCCTTATGGATAGTTAAGGAGGTCTTTAGACACTCTTCTACTCTACTTTCATTCATGTGTTTCTTATAACTTACGACATCTTCATACAGCATGCTATCAATGTGATTGTGAAAGATTATTACAAATTCATTATTAACTTGCAAAATTATCTGCTTCAGAATAAAAATCATTTTCAAAATCACTTCTTGGAGGTTATATGCCTAAAAATATTAATTAAAAAATTTGGAAATTCACACAAAAAGGTATTTCTAATTTGTGTTTTTCCTCATTTTTATAGGTATTATTGACAAAAACATTATCTAGAAACCACTTTTGTTCAAGCATTTCATTACTTTCATACAAACAAAATTTTAAAAATTTGAGGCCGTACCATTTGCAAAATAATGCTGAATGAAATGTTTATTATTCAAGTAGATTTAAGATTTTTATAGTAGGAAATGTTAAGACTACAGCTACAGTACACGAAAATTTTGCTAGTGTGCTCGCACAGATGCATCTAGCCAATATTGTCACATTAAAGTGAACCTAAAATGTTTACGATATCTATCAGTAGGCACTAAGTTCAACATATGGAATTTTTTCTATATGGCGAATATGCTATAGCCTATTTGGGGGTCATCCATAAATTACATCACACTTTAGGAGGGGTCGACGAACTGTGACATAAGAACAATATTTAGTAGAATTTGTATAGATAAATAGGTGAAAAGACGGGGGGGGGGTCTTAAAAAAATCTTGAATTTTGTGTGACGTAATTTATGGACGGCCCCTTGTTACAAAATCCTGATCAATATTCACAAGGTATTTAATCACAACGAAAGTTGATTGAAACATGTTTTTCACATTTTTCAAAACTAAATGATATTTACCATATTTCGACTTTTCATAAGCTCATCAATTGCTTTTTTCTTAGGTAAAACTAAGGCAGTACGGGCTCTTTGAAGAGAACCAAGTAGACATTGTATGATGTGTAAAACTTCTTCTGATGATCTGAAATGGAAGAAATATAAAACATTTCATTCCTTTCATGACAAAATATGAGTACATATATTGTTTTCATTCTAACAATATACTCATATTTTGTCTACCTGCTTTTTGTTATCTAATAAGTATACAAATATTATTTCTTTTACAATAGAAGTGAAAAATAGTCTTGACTTGAATAGTCAAGTCTTAAGGGATTTACCTGAACACATAATGCTTATCAACATTATCAATATAACCTATGGCTTGCTGGAGGTGATTGGCAGCATCCTGAATCTGTTGTAGTTTCCATGGGCCATCCTGATTAATTGATGTGCGACATATAGTGTGCAATTGCCTCAAAACCTTGAAACTTATATCCTGTATTAAGAAAATTGCACTTTTATTAATTTATGTATTGATATTAATTGTTTTGTTAATTTATTAAATATATATTGTTTGAAGCTTATTTTATTTTTTACTGTTTCTATATTTTTTTAAAATTATTTAAAAACACATTTACTTACTGCATTTGTAATACTATCACCAGTGAGTGTCACTATACATTTTAGCTGTTCTGGTTGTGATGTCAAAATGAATTTGTCCTGCTTTTGCCCTTCATTTCCATACAGTGGCACTGGAAATCGGTGAGCACATTCCTAAAAAATAACACCAATAAATGCCACTATACAGCGTCTATGTGATTTATGTATTCACGTCAATAATTCATCAATGACACTCACGACTAAAACCGAATGAAGCTGATGTAATATAGCATGTACCTCTTCGCGGAGGACCCATTCAAACTCTTCTTTCTGAAAACAGACATTATGAATAAGAAAGGATATTAATATACAACAATTACTTTGAACATTGTGTTCGATTATTTTAGATTTATTGATAATAATGGTTTCACATGCCAAATTAGCAGCCTCTTCTTTTTCGTTATCACTCATTGCAATTAATTTATTTCAAAATTCAGTAGATTTAAACAAATTTATCAATTTATTAGCGACGACGATGCCTGTTTCACTCACATCACAAGTGATTTTTGTGAATTTTCTGTGATTCACATGAAAACGAAAGAGTGAGATAAGGGCATGAGTTGTTCATGGGAGAGAAAGAAATCACAAATAATATGTCAAGTCAACGACAAATGCTTAGCTGTTGAGAGTAGGTTTGACAGATATAACTTCGTTCAAAAATAGATAGATACCTCTATCCCTTAGAATCTAATCGCTTAGAATAATAACAAAAGCATAAGAGACCATACTAAAAAAGTAAGTGAAGACATATTTATCTATTATTCTCTTAAAACCCGAGTTAATGCGTTAGAAAAAGATGTATAATATTAGTCATGTCTCAATTTATGTAAGTTTTCACAAGTTTTTGCAAACCTATTGGTATTTATTATTTTTACTGGCGCTCATTATCGACATATCTAGTATCTTCTTCTTAGTCTGTGTTGTCAACATTTTATCGATAAAAACGAGTTGATTTAAAATATTGTTTTTTAATTACTTCTACTTACTTCTATTTTTGAAAAAACAAATATGAAATTATTGTTATTGTTATCTTCAAAATACAATTCCTATTAAAATTTGAAAGTTACAATAAAATGTTGTTCGTGTGTATAAAAACAATAAAATTGGTTGCAAAGGTGGCCACGAAAGCATTTAACAGGTAAACTATAATGAAATAAATTAAACTCAGTTAAATCATATGAATTGTCAATCCCATTAAAAAAAGTACCTATATAAGTAGCATAATCTCATGGTTTTACAAAAGTACATAGTTGTCAATAGTGTGTACTTTAATTCGTCCAATAATTGTCATTATTTTGAAAGTAGAATTTTGTCTTTCATTTATTATATACGTGACTTTGCATGCGTAAATTACACTTTATGTCAAACTCGTATCATATAGCTACACGTAGGTGAAAGAATTTTTAAATCAGTCTCGTAATTGAGGAGCCTATTCGATGCAAACAAACAAATTTACGTCAACCTATTAGTTACTTAGAATAGATACCAACTATTAAGATACCCCGGTGGATTAGTTCGAGCGATACTACCATGGTTCCTGAAAAATATTTTTGCCTATGAGCTTCCTCATAGAATTAAATAAAAAAAATAAAGAAACTACAAAAAATTATGTCACTAGATGGCAGCACAAATTGTTGGATCTAAACGTCAATGAGGAAGTATTTAAAAAAAAATAAAGAAACTACAAAAAATTATGTTACTAGATGGCAGCACAAATTGTTGGATCTAAACGTCAATTCATGACGTTAAAAAAATCAAAAAATCAAAATCATTTATTCAGTCTAGGCTGTTACAAGCACTTGTGAAAGTCGAGAGCTACGCCAACGGTTCGTAAATCTACGGCGGGAGACCTTGTACCGAGAAGAACCGGCAAGAAACTCGGCAAGGGCTGCTTTTTTCTCCCTGTTTTATTTCATACAGAGCGTCAAGATTGAAAAATGACTTCATTAAAATTTGAAGTCACTTTCCATTACAATATAACACAATATTAAGAGTAAAACAGTATTTTCGTCAATCCAATCACATTTGTAGCCAAAGAAGCTCACCGATTAACAATTTAATATATATGAAAAATTAGCCATATTTAACTCCAAGTAGTTTTATCGTTTAAATATTCATTAATAGTATAATATCCTTTACTGAGTAGACAATTCTTAACATGGGTTTTAAACTTAGGTAATGGTAAATTTAAACCAAAGATAATAGATTTGTTAGTGTTGTTATGGATCTGATAACTTGGATTAATATCGAGTTGAAATTTAACTTGTTCGAGTTATGCCATCGCAACTCGATTAGGACAAAGTAATCTTTGAATAAATTTATTTTTTATTTGTATAGAGGAAAATGGCAACTAACATAATGGAAGGGAGCACAGAGGCTTTTTAAATTTATGGAAATCAGTTGAATGCTGTGATATAATTAAAAGTGGCATCTAACTACGGTATACAATAATATTACGTTTTATAAATAAAATAGGTACTTATGTCATAGTAGGTCTAGGAATTTCCATTTTAATATTTAACAAAAGTTCTGAAAAAATAACAACTAGGTAAGTTAGTTTTATTGCTATTAGTTGTTTGTTGAACTTACAACAACAAAACTACATCAATTCTCAATATTATGTATGGTGAATGAATGAATAGGGTTTATTAATCAGCAACAAAAGTCATAAAAACAATAATTTTTAAGAAAAATCCGTTTATTATCTATAAACTTACCCGATATGTATCAAATATACTATATATTCGTACAAAATAACATAACTGCTGGCTAAAATGACGTTTGTGCAAAGTGTAACGTGCAAAAATAACTTGTGCTTTCGAAATTAAGACTTTATAAAACTATTATCAGTTATTAAATCTTATATTCATAATTAAATCATCTTAATAAACATTCAGCAATTAACAAGAAACCCCTGCTCTAAACGAACAGCAAGGTTGTAACTTTAAATTTCAAATGTCAAAAACACGTACAGTTATTATATTGCTACTGATCTTGCATGTCGACGGCGGACGTCGAGCCATGTGTTAAGTTAATTCGTACGGCGGGTTTGTTCTTTTTGGTTCTTACAATAATATTGTAAATAATAATTTGAATTCCTACACAACCTACTCTAGAAATCCGTTTTATTGAAATATATTATTTACTAAGTACCTAGAGTTGTTATGGTCTCTTAAAATCTCTGCGGTGGTATCGTGTGCGTTAGGTGGTTACGATCCCTCAAATATCGCTCATTTGCGACAAGAACGTGTTAACGCAAATATGTATCGTTATTGAATAATAATACAGTAGAATTCGGCGCATCGCGCTCTACTTGCTGCTAAAACGCGATATTTCTAGCGCCGAAAATGACCGAGTAATGAAGGAAAAGGATGGCGACTATCGGTTTAGCGCTATCTCTTTCCGCTCCTAAGTTCAATGCAAGATCGGTTCATGTCAGTTGTCGCCGCTCGCTTGAGGAGGAAAGTGCTGCCTGGTTGCGGCAAAAATATAACAGCTCATGGTGTCACGGTTTTGTTGAAACGGTAAATACAGCTTTTTGTTTTTTTGGTGATTTATTTTTGCAGCTATAATGGGACATTTGTATGTGGCTCATTATTGTAGTAAAAATAGTAATCGCATGCTATGGTTTACAAAGGATTGTACCGTTGTTGCTGAAATAAACAATTATTTTTGTTGGTTAATTTGAGATGTTCTGTTACAGTTGATAATAAAAGTACAAAATGTTCGGTACTAATGTTGGTTATCTCAAATTAACACTTTCTTGATAAAAAATAATACATTTTTACAACGAATAGCTTACAATGTTGCATTATAAATGATAAAAATATTGAAAATTTATTTACTGAAATTCCAGTCTTAATTACACAATCTTTGAATTCCTCTTCCAATGTCACTGAATCTATTTTAAAGGCAAGTTTAAATAATTATAATAGCCAATTTCACTTTCAACACATTGATTTTAACGATATAATAAAATCTTTTAATCAGCTAAAGAAAAGAAAACCGCTGATTTATGGGATAATTCCATTGAAGTTTCTAAATCGGTAATTGAGACAATAGCTCCAATCCTAGCTTTATATATTAAATGAATGTACTGATTGTGGTATTTTTCCTGAGCTCATGAAATATAGCAAAATTATTCCTTTACATAAATCGAGTAGCACATCTGACCCAACTAACTTTAGACCTATATCCGTGCTACCTACATTTAGTAAGATTTTTGAAAAAATCGTGCTGGATAAAATACAAACATACTTTTACATGAATAAGCTTATGAATCGACTACAATTTGGTTTTACAATACAAGGGGTCGCTCAACAACCGAAGCCGGTGTCGAGTTAATACTAGAAATTTTTAATGCCTGGGAGGATTCACATGATGCCTTAGGTGTTTTCTGTGACCTATCTAAGGCATTTCATTATGTTTTTCATGAAACATTGATTAGTAAACTTCATTTTTATGGATTTAGAGATAACTCATTGGATTTTATTGTCTCGTACTTGACTGACAGAGTACAGAGGGTTGATACCAATGGCAAAAGATCCCCTGGGTCGAAAGTTAAGATGGGTGTTCCGCAGAGCTCAATACTTGGTCCTTTCTTGTTTTTGATTTATATAAATGACTTGCCTTATTTCGTAAGGGATGATCACGAAATAGTTTTCTTTGTGGATGACACTTCACTTTTGTTTCAAATTAAAAGAGAGTTACCTCTAAATGACGATGTGAACAATTCTATCGCTAAAGTAGTACATTGGTTTAATGTAAATAATCTTCTTCTTAATGAAGGAAAAACAAAATGCCTAATATTTGTACTACCTAATGTTAAAAAAGTAGATATAAATTGTGGATATCACGGTATTTTTAGGAATAAAATTAGATTTTAAACTACAGTGGGGCCCATATATTGATAAATTGTCGAGTAGACTTAGCTCTGCAGCATATGCCGTAATAAAAATACGTAGGTTAACTGACATAGATACTGCCAGATTAGTATACTTCAGTTACTTTCATAGTGTAATGTCGTACGGAATCCTATTGTGGGAAAATTTTTGTTCTTCAGAAAAGAGCAATTAGATCAATTTATAATCTTAGGATTAGGGACTCTTTAAGGGAGAAATTTAAGGAAATAGACATTATGACTGTTGCTTCTCAATACATATACGAGAACTTAAAGTACGTTCGTAAAAATATTTGTTTATCTTCTATAAAAAGTGATGTACACAATTTTAATACAAGAAATAAAAATAAATTAACGGTTCCTGTCACTAGACTGCAAAAAGTTAATAACTCATTGAAGAGTCTTTGTGTGCGCTTCTACATATAAAGTCCCAAGTAAAATACAACAATTAGATATCATGCAGTTTAAATCTACTATAGAAAAAATACTTATTAAAAAAGGTTATTATAAA